AAAAAAAAAAAAAAAAAAAAAAAAAAAAAAAAAAAAAAAAAAAAAAAAAAAAAAAAAAAAAAAAAAAGCTGATTTAGTGGTTGGACCGGATGGTCTTGGCGGGCTTTTCCAACCTCTGCAATTCTGTGATGCTGTGATACTGTTACTTCAGATGCTGGTAACAAGTCTGGGTACACCTGAGCTCCTGTTCAGCCACTGTCACCAGCACCCCTAGGTTCTTTTCCAGCTTTCCAGCTGGTCTGTCCCAAGCCTTGGGTATTTCATGGGCTTGTTGTGACCCAAGTCCTCCTCCCTCCATGGAATCATGGAACCACAGAATGGTTTGTGTGGGAAGTAACTTCAAAGATCATTTCATTTCACCCCCTTGCCATAGGTAAGAACACCTTTCACCAGACCGTTTTTCTCAGAGCCCCATCCAACCTGGCCTTGGACACTTCTAGGGACGGGGCAGCTACAGTTTCTCCAGGAAATCCATTCCAGTCTCTCACTACGCTCACAGGCAAAGATTTCTTCCCAATATCCCATGTATATCCACGCTTTTCCAGTAGGAATCCCTTCCCCCTTGTCCTGTCCCTCCATCCCTCGTCCAAAGTCCCCTCCAGCTCTCCTGGAGCCCCTTTAGGCACTGAGAAGGGCTCTAAGGTCTCCCAGGAGTATTCTCTTCTCCAGGCTGAACACCCCACAGCTCTCCCAGCCTGGCTCCAGAGCAGAGGGGCTCCTTGGCCTGATCTCTCTCTCTCTCTCTCTCTCTCTTCCAGGTAGCTGGTGATCACCTCTCTCCCAGTCCTTTGTTGAGTACATTCTGGCTCCTCTGCAGGCCTGAGCTGGGACAGGGTGTCAGCACGCTGCTCACCTGTCTGTGTTTCTCCCCAGGCCTATGGCATCGTCTGGAAAGCAATTGACCGCAGGACAGGAGAAATAGTTGCTGTTAAAAAGATTTTTGATGCTTTCAGGAACAGGACAGATGCTCAGGTGAAAAAATCATTGTCCTGATGTGTTGTGAGATGTGGTGGGATTCCATAGGTATTTCCTGCCATGCTTTTGAGGTGATAATAAACTACTTTTTCTTTATTTCCAGAGAACATTTCGAGAGATTATGTTCCTGCAGGTAATGACCATGTTCCTCCTCCATTATGATTTTTTATTATCTCTGATGTCTACGTATTTTCTTCCTATTGTTTTCCAAAATGCGGGGGATCAACGATTAGTGTTGACAGCTCTTTAATTTCTTTACTGCACCATCTTGGCAAAGAGCCTTTCAGGGCAAACGCACCTGAATGAAACACTCTCCATTTGCGCTTGTTTTTAGTTTTTCCTGCTCTTTCCCCATTTCTAGCAACGTGTCTCCTGCATCATCAACAGGTAGACTTGCACTTTTCTGTCATTTCTTGCTTCTTTATGGACACAAACTCTTTCTCTTACATTTTAACTGCCGTGATCAGAGGGGGCCTGAGGTATGTGGGGGGGGTTTACATGCAAAAATTGCTATTCCCCATCATGTGGGAAGCAATTTGATCACTTAAAATAATCAAAGCAAAACAAAAAGGGAACATCTGCAAGGAGTAACTTAAAGCTGTGCTTGTTGTGATATAATTGACCTTATCAGTGGCATTATAATTGTTTGTCCGTTCCTCCTCAGACTCACCGTGTAGAAACATCAATATTTTGAAACAGTGTTGTTATAACTTGTGATTTTCTAAGGACACAAGTGAGACAGGGCTCGTGGAATAGGTATTTCCTAAGACTGCCAACTTTAAGTAGTAAAGAGATAAGGTTTTTTTTACTTTTTAGTCATTCTTGAAGCCTGAAATAGAAGCTGCAAACTTAAGAGCTAAAAATATAAACAATTCCTTAGAAGTGAATTACATGTAAGTTAGATCATCTCTGAAAGTGCAGCACTTGTGGAGCGGATGGGTGGAGGAGGAGCAGGGAAAAGAAGGATATTTCTCCTGAAGGAGAATCGATATTGAACTGAAGGAAAGAAGGAGTCATTTGACAGCAGGGGCCTGGGGAGGGAAATTAATGTGCTGTTCAGCCTGTACTTCCATGACTTTTGGTGCTCAATAGACTAAAGAATTTTAGTTTCCCCTCCTGTTTTATACATCTTTCTTGAGGTTCAAGACTGAGGGATCAGAAAAGAAAAGATTTAAGAAATACTCTGTTATTTGTAACTGGATGTTTGTGTTAATTTGTTTGTCCATGAATAATAATTACTTTGTTTAATCTCTATCACAAGGGCATTGGATGAACTGGATTATTGTTTTATATTATGTATCTCAATTACTGTAACTGAGAAGTTGCTGCAGAATCTGGGATTTGGATGGTTCTCTGGTGCTCTGCTCTTTACTAGTCATTGCTTCCGGGTTTTGTGTTTGCTGTTCAGTGTAGTTGCAGATCTACTGGTGTATTTTAGGCCAATTTTAGAATGTCATTTTTGGTAAGTACTTTAGTGACAGCACTGTAAGCAAAGATTAGCAGGACTGGCCTGATGAGGTTTTTTTTCAAGGTAACATGTTTTTTTAGTACAGCTTGAAATTTTTTCATGACTTTCCCTTATCAGTTCCAGGGCGAGGCAGTGTGAGACAGTGGTGTTTTTGTTCTTAAATAGGACTAAAGTAACACTGTCAAAATTGATCTGCATCGCTAGAACAATATCCCCTTTTGTGTAGAAACCTGCTTTAGATCATTTGGATGGGCATTGTGACTCTTGTCCTCAGAATGAAAACGAGATGCGTGATGGTCTGGCTGTGTGTCACTGCTTTGTGAGTGTGTTTTCACAGGTTGCTGCGCACGAACGTGTTGATTTGTGGACTTTTTAGATGTTACACGTTATAACCACGTTTTGTTTTGGCCTCAGAGTGTAGGAAGATGATCCTGTTGTAAGCTGCGGATAGCTTATTATTAGGATTTTCGATACTGTTTATAACTGAATTAGTGATGGAAATAGGTAAAGAGTCTGTAATATTGGTTCAAATAAATTATTTATGTATTTCAGATACAAGCACAGGTTTTGTGGTGCAGCAATTTGTAATTCTGTTCTCACAGTAGTTCATGAAAACGTTGGTGTGTTAGGAAGTGTTTGCAGTGTCTCTGGTTGCACAGAAGTGTTTGCTGTGGTAAATAAAAGCTGTTAAAGCTGGGGATGAATTGAATGATCCCATCAGGATTGCCAGTCTGCAAATGCGAGCACGAACTCCACCTCCAGTGTGAGACACCTGTGTTCAGGTATCTAAGCTGTCTGATCTCCCAGTACAGCCTGTGAATCTCCAGCCAGCCCTCAGGTGGACACGTGATGGCTGTTTGGGGTTTTTAACTATGAATGTTGATGGACGCTGTGATCTGTTATTTTC